TTAGAGTTTCAGTTGAAGCATAGGTGGACGGGGGTAGAGGAAGAATATTATGGTACACTGAGGTTCAGGTTATTTGATACTGACCATAGCCTGACCATAGCCGAGTTGGGAGACATACTGAAGCTCCCCAATTTTGGTCCCGGAGCCCCTCTGGGAAGTTTTAGTGCAGGGGACTTTTGGAAGGCTATTACAGGCAGAACTGACTATGTCGCGAAAGCGGCAAAAGCTTCTTGTATCCATAACCCTTGTTTCAGGTACGCTCAAAAGGGATTGGCATACACACTGTTCGGTAGGGGTGATAGCACAGGGGTAGCGACTCAGAGGGAGTTGTACTTCATGTACGGCATGGCCAATCACGAGCTCATTAATGTAGCTGCCTTTGCAGCTGATCACCTGAAGAGGGTTGCGAATGCGCCTTCAGGCGAAATAAGTGTAGGCGGTATGATTACTCAAATCGCAAATCACTTTGGCCATGGTGCTCTCTTGAGAGAGGAACCCACTGTTACCGGTAAGACAAAAATAGATCTTGCCACACTGACGGCCCAAGGTATGATTCGTGTCTTTGATAATTACTATTCCTTGGTAAGCCGAAACAGTCATCTCCATGCTTTACCTGCCCCTGACTTTATTAGTATTCAAAATGTGAATAACTGGCTATATGAGAGCCCTCTGCAGGATGAAGAAGACCAATTTTATGATGGTACAGGTGCAGAATTCTTTGAGGATGAAGGCGATCAGGTGGAAGAAGCGCCTATACCGCCTACTCGATTTTCACCCCATCAGGAATCAGGCCCAGACTCGTGGAGCTTATCGAAAAAGGAATGGGACTGGATGGAGAATGAGATGTGCCATCTCCGAAGTGAGCAAACGAGGCAAGGCGAGGAGCAGACAAGACAAGGGAACAAGCAAATCCGACAGGGCAGGTTGATCAGTGAAATGCACGAATGGATGCGGCAGATGATGTTGCGGGACCAACCTCCTCCATCATGATGAACCCTGTGAGTCCCCTGCTACTTGTGTTTCAACAGTGGGGACACTGTTGAATTCAAGTGTGGGGGTATTTTATTGTGTGTTTTGTTTTTGTTGTTTTCTTTCTCTGTTATTTATATTTCTGTGTTAGTTTGAATTCTTTCTCTGTTATTTATATTTCTGTGTTAGTTTGGAAAGCATGATCAGAATACCCGTAGTGAAAACCCCCGATGTTGAACTATTAAAATAAGAACTGTTTGGTTGAACTGTTTTCGCGTGAGGTAGGTGATGAGAAAGTATAGAGAATGCTCAGAAAAAGTTTTGTGAGGAGGAAATCGGAATAATCTTGAGAAGTAAGTAAAACACAAACACCTTAGTCTCCCGAATAGGAACGAGTTCGACGTGTAGATTTGTGCCATAATGCTTTAATCTGAGAAGTACCCCAAGTAGTTTTCCTTGACAGGCGGGCTTAATCAATAAGAATCGTATGTGCGAGGTTGATCGAAAAGTATATGAAAAAAAAAAGCACAGAGAAAAAGGGGCAAATTGGACGACTGGTCCTTCTAAGTTGGGTAACCCTCACCCGGTTATTCAGCCTAACGGCGGTCGAACCTGAGAGCCATCCAAAACAAAAAAAAATAGTAATAATTGTGCCAAAAAAAAAGAAGAAGAAGAAAATATAATACCTGATCATCTTGTACATGCGAGGAAAAATCATAACTGCCCTTATAGTACTGTTCGAATGAAAGGGAGGAAAATCGAAAAAGAAGACTTAAGTACAAAGCATAGTCGGAGAGGTTACCAATTGGGAGATTGAGGGCAGTGGTTTTGCCACGGTTTAGTGTTTATGTGTTACCTATTTTGACAGAGTAAGCTGAGACTACTCCTAATGGGACTTGGAATGAGAATTTCACGTATGAGTATCATTACCGTAACTCACAGTTCTATGGGCGTTTATGTGAAAAGATTTATAAGGTTCGATTTGATGAGCTTTTTGCTCGAGGTCAAGCAAAAGTTCAAGTTCGGGGGAGTTTGATCGGGGGATTTTAGTTGTGTTTTCCAAACTATGTTTGTCGTTGGTTTCGCATTGTTTTATCTCTTTTTCTAGTCTTTGGTTTGTTTTGTCATAGTTATTTGCAGTGTTTTCGCATGAGTCTTAGTTTAATAACTTTATTGCTTTTGCCGCCGATGCGTTTGATTTGGTTTCTTTTAGTGTATTTTTGGCAGGAATCGGTGGCCGGACATCCGCACTGTTTCGAAGACAAAGAAAAGCCGAAAAAGCACAAGTCAGAGGCATGACACGGGTGCCCGTGTTGCACAACACGACCCGTGTCATGAGGGATACGGCCAGGAGGACACGGGTGAAAAGGAGAAAAGAAGAGTTGGAAACAGAAGAGCAACACGGGTGCCCGTGTCACACAACACGGCCCGTGTTGCAGCCCCTGATGTTTTTTTCTCAGTTTCGAGTTACAGCAGCCTGACACGGCCACCCGTGTCACACAACACGGCCCGTGTCAGGGCCACTGATGAGGAAAATGCTGTTTTTATTATTTTTCACTATTGAAGCCATTTTGAAGGGCATTTTAGACATTTTATCATGTAATTTGAATTGAGTTATATTAAGCCTTATTTTGGAAAGAAAGGAGGCACGTTTTTGATTAGGATTGAGAGGAGAGAACTGAAGCCGGAGAATTCGGAAGAACAAAGGATCGATCAAGAGCGGAAGCAATTGATGATCCAAGTCCCCCAATTTCAATTGTAATGATCTTCTCCTTTTTAATTCTAATTACTTTTATGTTGACCAAGAACATGAGTAGCTAAACCCCCAAGTTGTTAGGGGGTGGTCCTTAATGCGATGTAATGACATGTATTTAATTATTCTACGAGACTTATGTTTTTACCTTAATATATTTGATTTTGCATTAACCTTATTCGTATTCCTATTGGAAAGTAGAATTCGAATAGTGCTTAGGCTTAGTCTGGAAAGTCAACCTAACACTTTTGCAAAATAGTATCACGGTCGATATTGCTTAGGAATGAGGATATCCCGTATCCCGTATTTTATGGTCGGAGTTATTGCTTGATGTTTTTCAGGGACACTGAGGAATTAGTGAACAGGAAAATCATCAAAGGGTTGCCATTAAGGAATTAAGGCAACTAAAGTGGCCAACTGATAGATTAAGGTTAATAACGAGTAAAGTAGAATAATCATACAGAGTCTGCACTCGTATTGTCTCCACTCCCCTAACACTGTTCTTAGATTAATTAATTCAGTCCGTCTTTACTGTGAGATTACTCTGCTACCAAACAAACCACTAGACCTTTTGTTCAATTGAATTCTAAAAATTCTGTTAATTACTACGCAGTCCTCGAGATCGATACTTGGGACGTTTCCCTTATTACTACGATTGGTAAAAATAGTACACTTGCTATTTTCCCGATCACCTGCTTCACTTGCCCATCAGGGAGTCTTCTGGAACCCTCAAGATATCAGTGAAGCGCTTGCTGTTGAGTGGGCTGTTGATTATTTGGGAGTGTCACAGAGAATAGCACAACAACAAGTCCGTGAGTGTAGGGGTTCCTACTATAAGCTGGAGTGGTTATATGATCGGTTCGTAGAGCACAGAGCTGCATCTCGATGGGATTATGCCACTAGAGCTTATTTGCTGATGTTAGTGGGTTCCACTATTTTTGCAGACAAGACGTTTACGCTTGTCGAGGCACGATACCTCTCACTGTTTATAGACTTGGATGGCTTATCGGGATACACTTGGGCAGCAGCTGCGTTGGTTACTCTTTACCGATATCTCGGAGATGCTTCCATGTTCAGCTGTAAGCAGCTTGGTGGTTATCTGACTCTCCTACAGGTATTTATTTTAATTTAGTATATTTTGTTTTAATTAATTTTATCTAGTATATTAATTTTATTTATCTAGTTTATTATGTTATAATTAATTATTTTAAATTTTGTAAAAGTGTTGGATTCATGAGTATTTTCCTACACTTGGAAAAAGAGGAGAGAACTGGATACCATCTAATAATGTGGGTCTCCCACGAGCGATGAGATGGTCCTATAGGCAAGGTGCCTTGAAGGTGGATGACTTGCGGCCTATTATGGACGAGTTGACACCTGCTGATGTCATATGGCGCCCATTCGAGAATCATAGAGTATGGCGTCAGTTTGATGAGTTATGTCTCTATAGGGGGTGTCTGAGATGGGGTGACACTATTGTTCCATACATGCCTGACAGATGTTCGCGTCAGTTTGGAAACAGGCAATATATTCCATATCCACCTCTTGATTCTCGAATGGTGGGTGATATTGATGTTGACTGGATTAGTTACCATCAGAGCGTTCAGAATGTGATTCGTCCGACAACACCGGCCACCACCCCATATGAGACAGATGATGGGTATCTTGAGTGGTATTATCGTGTTTCGCATCCTCGTCTGGTACCGCTCAGTGTTGATGTGACAACAGAGATGCCAGTTCCTGTATATGAAGCAGGACCATCTGATCCTATAGTGGCTCGTATGTCTTCATTGATACATCGTTATCTTCAGCAGACTGGTGCTGAAGAGGATGACCCAGAGTTTGCTGATTTGTTCGAAGCTTTACATCTTGGTCTATCACAGTGACTTTTATTTATATTTATGATTATATGTTAACCTTTAGACAGATTTAACCTAATTGGTTTATGTTCATGTGTTAACTTTTAGACTAATTTGACCTATTTAGTTTATGTTTATGTGTTAATATAATTCACGATTCATGTTTTGCAATTAAAAACGAGTAACATAATTCACGATTCATGTTTTGTAATTAAAAATGAGTAACATAATTCACGATTCATGTTTTGCAATTAAAAATGAGTAACATAATTCACGATTCTTGTTTTAAAATTAAAAATGAGTAACATAATTTATAATTCAAAATGTGTTGGTAATATAGGCGTAAGTTGTTGCCAATGTTGTAGACGTCCTGCAAATCCTATCATCCAAGATGTTGCTGCTGGAGAACGAAACTTATTTCAATCTACTGTCACTGGTGGCAATGGAAATCCTTCTTTCATGTTTACCTAAATAAAAAAATAACTCGCAATATTAAGTAAAAATAACGAAAAAGAATTAGGTTTAATTGCATTATCTAAAAACAACTAAGTACCTGAACCCAATGATTTCTGTTTACAAAACCAATGCAGTAAATTGCTACATTCGGTGAAAAATAAGATGTCATAGGGAAGAAAGTCCAGCATTCAATTCTTAAACAGACAAGTACAACATTATAATGATTCGCTATCACGTAACCCATATCTGGTAGAGTTAACCATTTATGTGGTGGCTGAGGACCAAATTCCTCTATCATCAAAGATTCTCTCACTACTGCTAACTGATCAGTAAATAAATTGACATACAAACTTGATCTTTCATTGTGTATTATTTCCAACCCCAAGTCTCGACGAACCATTGGCCAACCATCTTCACCATATCCATGCAATGAAGCAATGACTCAAAATCCACAATTACCATCTGATACAACATTAACTACATCATCAATATATGACCTGATGTGATTAGGAAATTGAAGGATGAACTGCTTAGATGATTATGAAGATTGTGATAATTTCAACTTTTTCGAAGCCTGTGATGGTTGAGATTTCTTTTGTGAAGATTGTGATAATTTCAATTTCTTCGAAGTTTGTGATGGTTGAGATTGCATCTGTGAAAATTGAGATGCTTGATCAACATACTCGTGATACGAAGGGTCTCTATAAACATCATATCCTACTGGTTTTTTGTCTTTCTTCTTGACTCCCCCTTTAGTTTTTATTTTCTCAGGTGGTGGACACATAGAAGTCATTGTAGGGAAGGCAAGTTCAAAAACCCTACTTTTTAATGCTCTTTTCCCAACAACATCCAGTGACTTAAACCTTTTCCATAACTCATCTATTGCACTACTCATATCCACCTATGATCCATCATCTACATCTTCGTCCAACTTAACTTCCATACTTAGTTTTCTCCAATGAACATGTACAACATCTATTGGTATCGGTAAACCATCAATTCTATATCTTGTCAACTCACAAGCACAAGGTAATCCGTAGGTTGTTCTAAGAGTACAACAACATATTTCCTTGTTAGTTCCAACATAATCAACTCGTTTTAACTCTTCAGGAATGTGTCTCAATGCTTCTCGAGACACTGAACCACGTAAATTATTGTAAAATGGACTTACGTGGGCGTGCTCAACTTCATAAAAACTCTTTTGAAAAGAAGCTCTAATATTACTCAATTGTAACTTTAAGTTGTCATTCATAGCCTCCCAACATTTGACCATGTCACAAATACTGTTCCCCAACATTTGCTTTAACTTCCAATGAGCAGACTCAACCCTAAAATTAATACATATTTAAAATATTTTAAAAAAATTCAAAAAATAAAATACAATTTAGAAATACTAAAAATAAATACATATCGATTAGTCGTAGTGTTACCCAAATGTAGCACTCGATTAATCCATGCTCCAACAAATCTTTGTCTATGTGGTGTCAACCATGTATCCTTCACATAATCAATAAATTCATTACAATTAACACACGCCTACTCAAGTTGGTTCAACCTTTGATCATACTCAACCTCATCACTAGCCCATACAATATCCGTCCATAATTCCTCAATTTTCTTTTGCATGTCACTAGCCACATATTGTTTCCGTTTTGCACCAACATTCTTGTTAATATGAAATCGACATAGCATATTGATCGACCTTGGAAACACAATTTCAATGGCTTTCATCAAAGCAAGATCTCTATCTGTAAAAATCACGTGTGGACACAACTCTTTCTTCACAAACAATTGTTTAAGCTTATCTAGCACCCAACAAAAAGTCTTAGTTTGCTCAGACTCAATATAGGAAAATGCGACAGCAAAAGTCAACTCGGTTGATGTCATGCCAACTATTTCAAACAGAGGTTGCCTATATTTGTTTGTCTTGTAAGTGCTGTCCATAACTAGCACAATAGGAAAAATATTCAACAACTTAACTGAATCTGGATGAGCCCAAAAGATATCTCTAATTACTTCAGAGTCATCTCTTTTTCTACTCCAATAAACATAACTTGCTTCCTCAATAAACTTAAACAAATGTTGTATCTCACTTCTAGGACCTCTTATATTTTTTTCTATCATACTCTTTTGTTTGTATATTTGCGTGATCCGAGTGACATTATCTAGATCTTGCTCTTGCAATGAAAGCAATATATGTCTAGGTGGAACCTTCCTCTTTGTCAAATCAACAACATGTTGCTTCTGATTTGCTGTCAACCTACCGACAAATGCGTGACCTTCTAATCTATCAGGTAAACCATGGTTATGAACTCCACATTTTACATCAATCTTCCATCTAGATCCATCAGCCGCTGGAATTGATCTGATTCTAAATGGATATCCCCATTTTTTCGTCGCACTCTCGGTTTCACTATCAATATCTCTGTGTTTTCCTCCTTTATCACATCCAAATATTAATTTGTTACTTCCTCCTCTCTTGCCTGTTTTAATATCTGAACGAGTGATGATAACCGTAACTTTATTTCGGATTCCGATCTCTTTAATCCATCTTATTACCTCTTCTCGTGTACCAAATCTTTGAGTTGTTGAAAAACATCAGACGTATCTACGCATATCTGATCTTTATCGCATATTTGTAAAGGAATGTCTGAAACCTCTTCTCGTGTACCAAATCTCTGAGTTATTGAAAAAACATCAGACGTATGTATAAATATCTGATCTTTATCGCATATTTGTAAAGGAATTTCTGAAATAATTACATAAAAAAAATTCAAAAAAAATTAAAAAATTAAAAAAAAACAAATTGGACAAATCAAACCGGAACACTTGTAGAAAGTGTTCCGGTAGCTAAAAAACAAACCGGAAGACTTGTAGCAAGTGTTCCGGTAGCTAAAAAATAAACCGGAAGACTTTTTACAAGTCTTCCGGTGAACATTCACGAAAATTACCAAACCGGAAGTCTTTCCTGAAGTCTTTCGGTACAGTATTTTTGTGAATCGAAACTCTTTGTCCAAGTCTTCCGGTTTGAGAAAAAAAGCCTACCAAAAGTCATTTTCAAAGTGTTCCGATAGATCGTGGGATGAATTTCTTGGAAGACTGAAAAATATAAAAAGTAAAAAAAATAATAAAATATTAAAATATATAAGGATAAAATGGGTATTTTTAAAAAAATGTAGGGGTATGGGTGTACGTGCAGGGGTATTGGGTAAAATTTCTGATTAGAGAACTACCTAAACAAGTTCTTCTCTCTCTCTCTCTCTCTCTCTCTCTCTCTCTCTCTATATATATATATATATATATATATATATATATATATATATATATATATATATATATATATATATATATATATATATATATATATATATATATATATATATATATATATATATATATATATATATATATATATATATATATATATATATATATAAAATTGTGTGTGCAATTTATTGAATTCATTGATTGTTTGATCAATTCAATTGAGAATTATTTTTTATCACATTTTTGAGTTAGATTTTGTTGATAGAATCATAATCTGGTTATTTGTGATTTGTTTTAAGATCAACAAAACAAAGCGATTTCCAAACGATATCGATTGCACACAAAGTGTTTAATAAATTGCATTGTTGTATTTTTGTTTATTTTTTATCAAAGAAAAATAAGCTTTACATATAGCTTAAAATTTGATTGTGTTGTGATTAATCGTTGAACAATTTGTGTTTGTTATCATCCAAGTGTGTAACTTTGCGCATATTCAAGATTTTCCATAGTAGGTTCAGTTAGACTATTCGATTCGGGTTATTTCCTTTGTGCCATAAAAATTTTGAAAAACATTTTGTTTGCCAAAAGTTCATTTTTAAATTTGTGATCTATTCACCCCCTCTAAATCAAAGCCTATCATCTAACAAATGATATCACGAGCTCCAATTATTTTTTTGCTTAAGGTTTACTTCTTAGAAGAATGGCTACCAAACCTATAGGAGCGTACAATAAAGCACCAATTTTCACCGACAAAAATTATAGCTATTGGAAAGCTTGTATGAGTATTCATGTCAACTCTGTTGGCAAAGGTATATGGTACATCGTCAAAAATGGTCTGAATGAAATAACCGTGACCAATGATGAAGGTGTTATATTACCTAAACAAGAAGCATAATGAGATGCTAATGATTGGAAATCTTGAGACCGCCAAGGTTATGTGAGACGCATTAGAGCTTTTCCATGAGAGTACTAATAATGCCAAACAAGCTAGGATCACCATATTAAATCAAGTGTATAAGCTATTTCGTATAGACCATGGTGAATCCATTGCGGACATGCAAAAATGGTTTACACATCTTATCAATCGATTAAACTCGCTAGGTAAGCTTATTTCTAATAAGATTACTACTAACAAAATATTCAGATGTTTAACTAAGGAATGACAACCCAAGGTCACCGCTACCAAAGAGACGAATGATGTTAAAGTACTCGATCTCACGAATTTGTTCGGAAAATTGGAAGAACATGAGCGATAACTCTCTGGCTTGGAAAAATATGAAAAAGAGCATGAAAAGAAAGTGAAGAAAGAAAAAGGTAAAGACAAAGAAATAGAAAAGAAGTCCATTGCTCTAAAGACTTCAAGCTCAAGGCCTTCTTATATTGAGCAAAGTGATTATGAAACTTAAAATGACGAATGTAACACCCCATTTTTAGTAAATTATTTTATTTTAATTTAATTATAATTTTGTGTATCTATTTAATTATTATGTGTCGGTAATTAATAAATATGGGCGAGAGAGAAAGAGAGAGAGATGAGGTGTATGGACTTATGGTAAGGTGTGGAGAGTAATTAGAGGAAGTGAGAATAAATAGAATTATTTTATTAATTAAAATAATGATTTGGTTATATTATTGAAATAAAATAAAAAGAAAATAGAAGATGTAGAGATATTGGGGGCAATTTGGGGCTTAGAGAGAAAATTAAGGACAAAGTGGGAACATCCTAATTAAGAGATTAGGTTTCTAGAGTAAAAATAGAATCAATAGGGGAGTTTGACATTACGTAGAAAAAAGGTTAAAAGAGGTAAGATGAGGGAGAAGGCTAGGGCATAGAAGAGCGCCCATTGGAGAAGCATAGAAGAAATTACAAGAGAAATATAAGGTAATGGGGAGAATTAATTTTAATAAAAAGGGCTTATGCATGAGGGGTAGGATAGAGGAGTCCTTAACCTCTAATTGGGATTGTGTAAATTATGTTTGTTGTGTTGTTGTTGTATGACTTTTTAGTGCTTATTGAGTGATATGTGTGCA